CTCACAAGTTGAGGTTGGTAACCAAATTTTGTGTATTATTCAATGAAGTACCGGCTATTGTAGACAAATCGTTGTTTTGGAAGTTCGGTTTATCCGAACGTTTAGTCTGTTCTGGTACGCGATCTTCTTGTAGTGGTGATCATGGTCAACCGCAACTCGACGCCATGCTACAGATTATTACAATTTGCACAAAAACCCTTTTGCGAAATGTGAATTAATTCGATTAAAAAGAAAGAAATATTCACACGATATTATTATGCGTCAGTCAGTATGGTTCAGTATATTAGAGAAGTTGAAAGAATGTATAAGATTATTCATTATGATTTGCTTATACAACATCTGTAGTCCATCTTATTTGTTAGACCACTGTATTCAAGTAATCTCAATTGTCATTTATAAATTCTCAGTGATTTATCTCAATATTGGCATGTGGTCACAAATGATTCTTAAAGTTGAGTAATGACATACAATCGACTGTATGTTGTACGTTATGTTGCATGTAGGACGCGTCAGGAGGATGAACAATCGTCCTAATATTGATGTTCATACAGAGAACTGAATTCGTTACATAATCACTTCAAACATCGACGCGTTATTCACTGAAATGGTGAATAGAAATGGAAGTACTGAATTGTTATAAGAGAGAACGTGTTTTTCGGAAACAGTCGAATATCATAATCAAGTTGCCTATTTGAATGAAGTTTATTATTAGCCAACATCATTGAGTGACATTCAGTTAACTAAACATTGGCAAGTATTAGGTGTTGAATAGATGTTTCATAGTGGTGTGGAACTCTTAACGACTTAACATCTATGACTTCAACAAGAGTCGATTTTATGATCATTAATGTTATTTTCAGTGATTAATATTGTTGAATTCATTCAATTGGTGTTATTATAAAGTTGTGTTTGATTGCTACCGGTGATCATTGGCAGGATGATGATTGCTCACTACAGACTAGTTGCATACTTGGATGAAATGTCAGTCCAATACTTGTAGGTTTTCAGTGGCTGTTGAAGTGCCAAGATTTCTTCATATTTACGTTCTTTTCACTATTGATGAACTGTAGTGTGTCTTATGTTTATCTTATTATGGCCTTGACGAATCTAAATTTTCCATCCTAATTGAAGATGGGACCGAGATTCCCAAAGAAGCCATTTAAAAGAATACAATTGATCAAGTCAGAGTCAATTGAAATACTGAACTCAGGAATTCCTTTAATAATCTTCTATTGAAACGAAAACCAGAGAACAGTAATGTGGAACATGGGTTTTACCAACCACCACAGTTGATTGCCATTAACTATTGCAAAACATAAAATCAATTCTCTCGCCTTTCGTCTTACATGAATATGAATGAAGAACACAGATACTTAAGGACCATCTCGTTCGTCCAGATGTAGTGACAGTACTCTAAAACCAGAATATCAAACAATACGAAACTCTGACTTTCTAAAGAAGATTTTGTTCATGAAGATTCAATGTAAACAGAAAACATTTCCAGAGATCCTTAAAAACTAGATGTTTCGATGATGAAGCGAAACTTATCAGATTGTTTTCTTAAATTTTGTCTATAACTAGTACATCTTTTGACGACAACAAAGCTCAGTGTGAAACTTCATTTATTGAAGGAGCCTAACTTCATTTCATGATTCGTCTTTTCTTATTTATAAACCATTTCAATACACATTTACATGCTCTTCATTGTATGATTGGATTATTGAAATATGCATTATGTAAATCTAATGTAGAGTAAAATAATTCCTCCACAGATGAATCACGACACATCTCTTCTTTACATGCTATTGTTCACTCAGCCTTTCAGTATTAACATGTAATCTATGAAAATAAACCAATGAATCACAATTCGTTTGTTCAAACACTAATCTCCTTGATGATGTATTATACATAGTTGTCTTTTTGTTTTACCAAATGGAAGTGCACATTCTGGTTTATGTCCTAAATAAATGAAAACTACACAGACTGAGTGTTGTGACATTTTGCTATTCAATCATTTAAAAGTCTGATTGAGTGAACAATATGTTGAATAGTAGTTCAATTCCTCAAACATCGTATCATTTATGAAACCAATGTGATACAGATTCATATTATTCCACCGAAATCACAATATGCTCTGTGTATTTGTTCACTTGAACAGTCCTGAAGAGAAATTAATCTGGTCGTCACTGCCTGCAAACTTCAGTATTGTAGAGATTCACGAATTGATATGGAAAATTTCTAAGAAGGATTATAACGGCATATGTGATCAGGGTTCTTTCAAAAAAGACGGGTCGATCTACCACAAAGTAGCAAATACTTTATTATAAAGTGAAGATGAACATAAATTCCTGATTCAGTCACTTCTGGTAGACATCTACTACAATCAACCATCTGTTTGCGAAGTTATGAAAGGTTGGGATGTAAGATGGTTGAAGGTAACTGGCAGGTAGCTTGAAACAGAAATTATTCCTCAGTTCATACTCACCACTTGGAATTATTTGCAGTATAGAGAGTGCAGATACTTCATATATCACTCGAACAAATATTCCCTAGTTTCATGGTCCAAAATTTCCACGATTAACCTCTTTTAGGACTGGCACCTTTATGTCGCTCAATAATTACTGTTGATTAACTGTATTCTCCGTATTAATAGTTACCTAAGTAAGTATAAATATCTCTTGATATAATCTGAACTTGTTAATTTATTTATAGGGCTTAAATTGACGCTGTTATTGTCATTACTGATTTCTTTACTACTTATAGAAATATCAGTAGCTTCAAGCAGTGCATCAAAACACCATCTTATCTAAATGGTCATGAAGATAATATTAGAGTGATTTTGAGGAAATCCACACCTGACGTGGTCAGTAAAGAAAGCCCCTTATCAAAACCCTATTTGAATGGGGACATAACAGGTGGAATATTAACAGGTCGAATCAAAAGACCTATTGAAAGGACATTTCCCACCGTCAGGTTGCATATAATCTCAGCCAAACGAGCACTTATACAACAAACCAAGGATAGGTTACCGATGATTTGCTCCTAATGTGTGCATACAAATTCAAATGCTCCAGTTGACCTAGTTACATAGGCCGTACTACGAACGCTTTATCCTTGTGTGCTCGTGAACGTGTACAAGGATGCTTGGGAATATAATTCACTAGGTCGGTTAACAGTCACATTCTTTCTCACTTAATACATAGTGAACATCATATTCAATTCTATAGAACTTTCTATTGATTGTGTCAAGTTCCAAATGACCTATCTCAAGAAGCTAGACTACGGTCACTCTACATAGCTGAAGTCATCTGGATGAACTCCTGAAAACCGAATTGAAGTATCCAGAAGAGGTATATCCAGCATCGATGTTTACGGTGTTCAACGACTGGATCATCAGACACCTGAACTGGATATTATAGACTTCTTATCCAAATTCCTTTAATGTTTACATCTTTCTCAATCCACCCATCCATTTTTCCTATATCACATTCATTCCTTTTTATCGTAATTACCTTGATCATACTCATTTTATCGCATATTATATCCACACAAAGTTAGGTTCATCAGTTTTATTATTATGATTATATTGATGAAAACTTGGCACCTTACTACAAATCATTTTGGCCTTCAAGAAGTGACCGTGAAGCACTGAACGGTCGTACAGGATAACCAACAACAACAAAGAACAACCCAATGAGAATGATTATAAAGTACTTCAACTTTTCTGATCTATCAAGTTACTAAGTGAAGTAGTGCAATAATTGATTATTATTATTATTATATTTTTAATCGATAATAAGTTTGACAATAATATTGATAAAAATACATGACTTAGCCATGGTTAATATGAATACATCGATTCATAATTACATTTGTATTGTTTTAATTATATTTCTGTGTGTGAATTTCATGGTAATACGACACTTCTTTGATCATATAAGAATAAGTTCATCTGGTATTGTTTAGCTTGTATCTTCCTGGATTCCACTGCTAGCCACTATCCATCATTGCTTACAAATAGCTTGTGAATTAAGGCAATATCGAGGCATACGCACAGCATGCACATATGCCAATAACACACTGATCAATTGCAGTGTTAAAACCTCAATGGGAAGATACAAGCCAAACAATACCAAGTGAATTCAGATTCACCCCATTCCACAAGCAAGTGGCTATCAGGAATCAGTAGCTGAGTGGATAAGGATTGTGAGTAAATGGAGATCAGCTGAAAGGAACTTGAAAGCTATTAATCAGAAACTACAGATCATTGCCAAATTTCAATGGCAAAACCGTTTGTTTATTAATAAGATCGTATAGAAAATTCAGTAGATCCAAAATGACTGATAGTTAAAATAATAGTAACTTAGTAATCACAAATTACATTAGATGGTTAAGTAAACATATCACAAGCTATAATTTCGGATGAAACATGTAGCATTTAAGGAACAAGTAATGTTCTAACAAGAAGGGATGCATCGTAAGGACAAGAATAAATGATTATTAGAATTCAGATCAAATGTTGAGAAATAACTGCAGAAACTTGATACTAAAATGTACATAAATAGCACAAATATTTGAGGGGTTTCGTTACTTTGGCAACTGGAATTTCTTACTGTTATTAGTTTGCACATTTGCACAGAAAGTTATTCAATGAAAAACCACATGACCATTAATTAATAAACTTCACTTTGGATAGCAAACCAGTGAAACTAATAATTCACCTACCTGAAAATGTTTTAGAGATTTGCCTAGGGAAACAGATGTTATTTAATTATGATGTATAGAGTGAAGTTGGATAAAAGCCTAAGGAGCAGATGGATTCGAACAACCTAATTTATACAACGTTGAAAATTAGCACAATCATAGACTCATATTCCAAACAACCACTGGTCGGTAATAAAACGACGTAAGTAAAATTAAGTTTAAATAAACACATTAGAACATTCTATACAATAATAATATAGAAGCCATACAACAAACAGATATCAAGAAATACATACCTTAAACTCACGAGGCACAGCATATGCTCGCGTCCCCGACCACAGCTGCTTAATGAGATCTGCGTAAGCAATAGCAATTCTTCCTTGAGATCCAAGTGGATTACGTATATTTAGTTCTGACTTCCATTTACCACTTAGGAAGTAACTGGTTAATGCAGGAACATTGGACATACACTGAAGAGCACTATTCATAAAACAGGTATTTCCCAAGTTATTGAGACCACAAACTCCTGGTACTAAAGGCGGACTGGACCCATGTAACGACAGCATCTGAGATTCAGGTTGAGATCCTATAGAGTCATTCGACTTCAAACGTGAACTATTTACGCATTCAAAGAAGAATAGTATTGATACAATAAAAAAAGCCCCTGAATGTCCTGGTACGGCCGAGAGTGGGGAGAGTCCGCTCTCCCTCTCGAAATACTCTCACACGGCCACGCGTATACAGCCTCTGCCAGGGAAGTCCTACTCATTGCCTTCTCGTGGCGGGGGTGTTGTTTACGAAAATGAGAGGACGAAAAGCGAATGTCCGGCGCTTTAACCGGATTCCAAATCAATGGTGCACATGGGCTCCAGTATCCTGCGGGAACGAATGGCGTATGAACCAATCGTTGGTCACCGGCTACCATGGGACTGCATCTCCTTACGATGCTCCACTGCCTTGTGGGTTAGACCTTTAGGTCAAAGGCTCGGGGAGTGGCCCCCTAAGATAACCACCTGCTTCGGTTTGGGCACCCGGGCAGTATCACAGCCCACACACAAATGATGAACTCTTTATGTCTATGGAAATTATTTTCTCGCTTTGAAAAACAAACAATTGATTCAAATTATTATCATTACAATTATTGTCATTATTAATACTATTATTATTATTACTATTATTGTCATTATTATTATTATTATTATTTTCCACATTATTCACCCTCTTTTATACTTATACAGCGGCTCGTCTTTGGTGGAAATTCGACTGTATCTAAACGTTCTCGAGTCACTGTCCGGTTGAAAATTGTATGTTACCACCGAATACGAGGACTGAAGCAGATTTTCTGAAACCACGTGCACCATTCAAACTGGCTGCCTTCAACGTTCGCACATTTATGCAGGTCGGACAACAGATAGGGCTGGCTATGTCTTTGGAAAGTCTTAATATCGACGTGTGTTGTCTATCCGAGACCCGTATTCAAGACTCTGGCGAAGTACTACAAATTCGATCTCCATCTGTCGCTTCGAAAAGCTTGTTTTACGTGCGCTTATCCGGGGACCCTGTGGCATCTTCGTCTGGTCTTGCTGGCGTTGGTGTCGCACTAAGCGCTAGAGCTGAGGCAGCACTAGTCGATTGGATCCCCATTAACAGTCGGTTATGTGCTGTTAGATTAGAAAGTTCCATCAAAGTGAGAAGAAATCGGCGTGAGAAACGATGTCTTTTCGTCATCTCCGCCTATGCCCCGACAGATTGCAGCCCGGATGCAATCAAGGATGAGTTTTACCACCAGTTATCAGTTCTTCTCCAGAAAGTGCGTTCGACAGATATTGTAGTACTAGCCGGAGACTTGAATGCTCAGGTCGGGCGTCTAGGCACAGAAGAGAGTCGTTTAGGTGGCCGATGGGGACTCGTTGGTCGCAGGTCAGATAACGGGGACCGTCTACTGCAACTTTGCACAGACCACAACCTGTTTCTGGCTAGCACTAACTTTCGGCACAGTCATCGCCGATGTGCCACCTGGCGTCCTCCCTCTGCATCTCAAGCCTGGACTCAGATTGATCACATCGCGATCAGCTACCGCTGGCGTGGTTGTGTACAAGACTGCCGCTCCTTTTGGAGTACCTATCTGGACTCTGACCATGCCTTGGTCTGCGCCAATCTTGCCTTACTTTTCAGTGGACAACGAAGTGAACGCCATCAACGGATTGATGTTAGCAAGCTGGTTGCAACTTCTGTTGCAAGTAAGTATCGAACCGAGCTAGCCTCTAGGCTAGCTACCACTCCACCGAAAAGTATAGATGAGCATTGGTTGCAATTGCATGACGCCATGAAAATGGCGGGAACAGTCAGTTGTGGGTTTGCGAAACGTCCCGCTTTAAGCACTGGGTTTCTTCTGGTTCCTTACAACTCATTGAAGCCCGTCGGTCTACTCCGGGTGACCGTGAGTTTGACCATAAACGAAGGATGTTACGTAAGGAAATTGGGCAAAGCTTGCGTAAGGACCGAGAAGCCTGGTGGTCGATGCGTGCTAATGAGCTGGAAGCAGCAGCTGCATCTGGTAACTACCGGAAGCTCTTCCAGCTCATCCGAGCCACTGGCAGCAAGAAGTCTGGTGTGAGTGAAACAATCTGCGAGGATGATGGGATGCCAATCACTAACATCCATCGACGTCTTGGACGATGGGCAGAATTTTTCGAAGGGCAGTTCAACTGGCCTGCTGCTCCGGCAACATCGGTCAGACTGTCCTGCCCTCCATGGCCGGTGACGACTGATCCACCAAATGAGGAGGAAGTCCGCAAGGAACTCCAACTCTTGAAGCGTTACAAATCACCTGGCCCAGATGACTTACCTCCGGCTCTTTTTAAAGATGGTGGTGACTTTTTGACTAAGGAATTGACGACGTTGTTTACAAAGGTTTGGGAACTAGAGAGTGTACCAACGTCATGGAATGAGTCGATAGTTGTCCCTATCTTTAAAAAGGGTTCACGTCGTTCCTGTAACAACTATCGGGGGATAAGTTTACTTCCGATTGCGTCCAAGCTATTGGCTTCCGTCATACTTCGTAGGTTGTTCAAAACCCGAGAAAGATTGACTCGCGAGGAGCAGGCTGGGTTTCGTTCTGGTCGAGGATGTATTGATCATATCTTCACCCTCCGCCAAATGTTAGAACACCGCCATACTTATCAAAGGCCAACAATCGTAGTGTTTCTTGACATCAGGGCTGCCTTCGATTCGTTGGACAGGACTGTTCTCTGGGATTGTCTATTGAAGAAGGGTGTGCCTGAGAAGTTTATTAACATCCTAAAAGCCCTGTATAAAAACACCTCAGGCAGAGTGAGGGCATACAACCACCTCTCTCCATTGTTCCATTCGAGCAGTGGGGTTAGGCAGGGTTGCCCAATCTCACCATTCCTCTTCAACTTTGCCATCGATGACATTCTGGAAACAGCTCTGATGAATGTAAGTAATGGTGGTGTGGATCTGTTGCCTGGAGAAAGACTTCTCGACCTTGAGTATGCGGACGATATTGTCTTACTGTGCGATAATGCCCAAGGCATGCAATCCGCACTTAATCAGTTGGCAATCAGTGTCCGTAGGTATGGTATGTGCTTTGCACCTTCGAAGTGCAAAGTACTTCTACAAGACTGGCAGGATTCTAATCCTGTACTCACCCTGGACGGTGAGCAGATAGACGTAGTTGAGAAGTTCGTGTATCTGGGTAGCTGCATAAGTGCTGGTGGGGGTGTGAGTGATGAGATCAATGCACGAATAGTGAAAGCCAGAGCGGCTTATGCCAATCTGGGCCACCTTTGGCGCCTTCGTGATGTTAGTCTGGCTGTAAAAGGTCGGATCTACAACGCGTCGGTGAGAGCAGTTTTGCTCTATGCTTGTGAAACCTGGCCTCTCCGAGTTGAGGACGTTAGACGACTCTCTGTGTTCGATCATCGCTGTCTCCGAAGGATTGCTGACATTCAGTGGCAACACCATGTCAGTAATGCAGAGGTTCGGCATCGTGTGTTCGGGCACAGAGATGATAACTCAATTGGTGTCACCATCTTGAAACACCGACTTCGGTGGCTTGGACATGTTCTCCGAATGTCGTCCCAGAGAATTCCACGTCGTGCATTATTTGCCGACTCTGGGACTGGTTGGAAGAAGCGGAGAGGTGGTCAGTGCATGACATGGTGTCGTGGCATGAAAGAAAGCTGCAAAGGACTGGCTTGTGTTGGTCCTTCACGACTCCCTGGTTGGGGTCCGAGAGATGGTGCTACACAGTGGCTAGAGACGTTATCAGATATGGCTCAGAATAGAAGCCAGTGGCGATCCTGCTGTAACCTTCTTTTACTTTCTTCATAAAAAGTGGTTGTGTCTCCTTTACCTGAAAGATTTCTTCTGATTGTACCTTTTCGTTCCGTCGTTACTACCACACTACCTTACTCCAATCTCTTCGTCATTGTTCTCTTTTTCTTTTGGGCTCCTTAGTTTTTTTTCTACTACTCTTCGAATTCTCATTGTTTTGTGTGGCGCATATATATTGGCGCTCTCATGTACCGATATTCATCTGTTCAAACAAATAATAAATAAATAAATTATTAAGTAATAAATAAGGCTAGTTATTAAGACTAATATGAACTCAGAATAATATATATTTAAAAAATTCTATCTTTACCGCACTAAGCGTAACAAACTTAAATTAAATGCATCATCTGTCCTGAACTTTAAAAAAGAAAAACATTCAGACTATTAACTGCTTAATCACTTTATATTTGAATAAGAGATAAAACTAAATTCCTATCAGTATATTTAAAAAATCAATATGTTCACTAAAGTGCAATAGGCCTGTTACATACATTTTACAGTTACTTAACCGATGATTCGAATAGTTTAGTTACAAAACCAGTGATCAGTAACTTGTAAACAATACTGATTTAATGTCAGTGGGTCAATTCTAAGTAACAAATGAATAATAAAGGAAAATCAGAAAGGTTAAAATCATATACAATGTAGGCTGAGCAAAAACTGTTTTAATACTTACTCACTGCGTATTCCATTTCTAGGTTCCAGATGAACAAAAATAACCTGAGAGAAAAAAAACCAAGACTTATAAGCATAAGAGGTTACTTGATTAATACACAAGTATTTTACAGCCGTTGAAGTGGTTTACTACGAGCTTTAGTGACACACAGTATATATCCATTTTCGTAGACCATAAGAAATAAAAGCTGTTGTCGGATCCAAGATCTTAACTAATCAATCAATAGGGTTTTTTGTGAAGCAGTTTGATGGCTGGTAACTTGCAACTAGATCCTTGACTTACTAATACTGTGCGAAATCCCATACAAATATTTGAAACCACTTAGTCTATGGTTTTGTTAAATTAGTAGTACTGTGAATCAAATAATCAGATCAGTGTATTTATTCCTAGTGGTCATGTTGCACAGTCGCATGACAAAGTACTATGCAATGATTCTTTTTGGTTAGACATAGAATAGATGGAAATAACTGAATTTCATATTTGGACCAACTATAGCTCCTTGTCTACTAGATATAGTTTTGTACACCTGTAGCAAGCCAAGACACGTTCACGATTTCAGCTATATTTATTGGGTTGAAGCTACAGACACCAACTTGATATCAAAAAAATATGTAGGGCAGGTTTGGAACCCGTGACAAGCGGGATGAAAGCTGAGTCCAGTATGAGCCGAAGCTCTACATGGAAAGTAGCAATATAAAGAATTGAGACGACAGGGCAGTCTACCTAAGAGTTGAGCAATATTTCAAAGTTGGAGAAAACAACAATCTCACCCCAGTAGTGTACCTGACTAATATAACAGAAATAAATAGTGTACACCATTAGGTGGTCCGTAAATAGAAGGCAACAAGTATTCCGTCTTGTTTTTAGGAGTTAATTACATCATGTAAATGGTTTAAAATAAACAGCTTGTTTGACTTAAGATTACTGCTTTGAATATTTGTTAGTTATTGACTAATTTGATCAGAGTTTGTCATTACTAGGATATTCTGAAACAAAACCAACGATCACGATCTCTAAACAAACATAGCCTCGATAAAGTTATCTGCATTAACTGGAGCCATCTTTCTTAATCCCATTAAAAACACAATAGAATGAATATAAAAACTAAGACTAACTGTAGATTACAAGGCACGTCAATCTAAAAGTCGACAGATTATTATTATTATTATTATTCACAAACATCTTATGGGTACATAAGTGTTGTGAAGAAACCATTTCGGGTTTCTTCAAAAAAATGCAATAATACACAATTTTCAATAATGTCAGCATTCTACTGGCCATTAAAAAAAAATTTTGAGCAATAATAGTAGAATATTAATAATAATAAATCGGGTCTGTGCAATTGAGAAGAATATTGAATTGAGTCTAAAGAAGGAAATGCAGAAAATAAGGGAATAGAAATAAAGGAGACGTGAAGTACACAAACAGTTTAATAGGCGTGTTTATGAACATAAAACAAGAACAAACGACTATGTGTGTATCGTCAAATTAGTAAGAAAAAATAATTAAGAAAAAATAACTTATAATTGCAGTAAGATATGACGCTAGAATAAATGTTTGTGCAGTACATAGTTTGGAGTGATGCTATGAAAGTCTCAATTAAGTGAAAAGGATAATAAAATATCAATATGTATGAGTCATATATGCATAGTGAAGATAAAACGGGTCTGAGAATTTAATTTAAGTGTAACACAAGTTATTGTTTTAATTACAAACTTCGTAATCTTAAGAATAATATTTATTTAGAGGGAAAGAATGGAGTGAAAAGAAGTGAACACCTAGTGAAAAGTTTTGATCCATGATAAGAATAATAATTGTGTAATAAATATCAACCTCAGAAGGAAACCAACAATTTAGAAAAATAAAATAAAAATCCGTTAAAGCACTCGGATGAATACATTTAGATTTATGTAATAGTATACAGAGTGAAACCGGATATTAGTATAAATATTTGTGCAATAATAATTAAGATTGATGCTATGAAAGTCAAAATTGATTTTAAAGGACAATCTGGAGTTAAATATGTTTAGAAGGATAAGAAGATACAAAAAGAATATCTAATGTGTCAGGGAACTAATAATGATATTAATAACGGAAATAATGATAAACACGAACATAATCAGATTTCATATATTAAGATAAATAGAAATAAAATAAAATAGATGTGGAAAGATTTAAAGGTTTTATTTTGCTTTTCAAGCAATTAAATGGATGACGGACCTTGTTTGTATAAATCATTATTGAATACATTGATATTCAATAGGTGACATAATCCACTTTCGGAAAGAAAATCGTCAAGGAGACTTTTGAACCGGGTTGTAGTTTCACTGCAACGGAGGTTCACTGGCAGTCTGTTCCACATGGTTGAGTAGCGAATAAGGAAAAAATTCTGACGTAAGTTTGTGTGGGTTCTTGGAATCGCTAGAATATTCTCCTTATTGCGTAGATTGTGGGATGATATCATAAGGTATGAAGGGGTGGATACCGAAGAGTAGGAAATACCGTTAATAAGCCGGTAGATAAAGACAAGATTTAATTTGATACGTCTGATCCAAAGAGGCTCTAAGTTGAGTTGTTGACATCTTTGGTAATAGTCTTTGTTATCGGAATACCGCAGAACAGCTTTAGTGAACCTTCTTTGAACACCTTCAATTCTAATCAGATCAGTATGTCTACAATTACTGTAAACTAAAATACCATATTCAAGAATGGGTAAGATACATTTTCTGTATAGTAACAATCTCGATTCGATATTATTGAAGTTTATCATTATCAATCCGATGAGCTTTCTAGCTTTGGATACTTGAGATATAATGTGTTCAGAAAAGTTCAGACTGTTGCTATATCTTAAACCCAGGTCACGAACAGTGTTAAGAGGTTTGAGTGTATGTGTCTGTACAGTCAGATTTAAGTTAAGACAGCGACCAATGTGAATAAATCCACTTTTGTCAACATTAAGTGGCATATTCCACGAAATAGTCCATTCGTACAACTTGTTTATTTCCTCTTGGATTACCGCTGAAATATAGCTTTCTTTCATGGGAGAAGAGAACGAATAAACTACTTTCAGGTCATCAGCAAAAAGAAAAGGCTTACCATACTGAAAGAGGGAACACACATCATTGATAAAAAGGAGAAAGAGTAATGGACCAACCACACTTCCTTGTATAACCCCGCTGGTTACATTCACAGGTTTAGAGTAGCATGATCCAAAGCGAACGATTTGGTTACGTTCTTCTAAAAAAGATTTGAGCCAAGATAAAAGGGGATTCTGTATGCCAAATGAAGAGAGTTTTAAAAGAAGAAGTTTGTGTGAGACACTGTCGAAAGCCTTACTAAAATCGAAGTAAAGAATTATCACTGACTGACCAACATCTCTTTTCTGGGTAATTTGATCAAAAAACTCCAGGTGCGATGTGAAACATGAGCGTTTAGTCATAAACCCGTGTTGGGATGGGCTGATCAGACTAGCCGAAAGTAAAAATGATAGTAGCTGTTTGTGGATGATTTTTTCCATGGTTCTTGAGAGCACGGATGTCAAATTAATTGGCCTATAGTTAATAATATCACTACGTGGTCCTGTTTTGAATCTAGGGGTGATAAGGGATGTTTTCCATACAGATGGATAGGTCCCATATTCCATAGATAGATTGAAAAGTTTCAAACAAAATAGTGGAAATTCTCTACTTCCATATTTCACAAATGATGAAGGTATCCCGTCAGGTCCACCATCATAAGACTTTTTCAGGGCAGCTATGGCCTGCTTGATGTTGGAGGGTGTAAAATCAATTTTCGACAGATGTCTGGATGTCAGCATTGGAAATGTAATGATGGAGTTTTCAGTTCCAGTTTTGTAGCACTGCGAGAAGTGCTTGCTGAATTGTTCACATATAGTATTCGGGTCGTTAACAATGCTTCCGTTAACTATGAAGAATTTAGTCGTGCCAAGGGAATTTGACTTTACACGGGATTTAAAAAGCCGAAGTATTGATAATTCTGGGCTTTTACTACGTAGAGCTTTATTTTCTATATTCATAAAATACTTACGTTTAGATGAAGCATTTCTGTTGATTAATTTAAGTATACTCTGAAGTGCATACACATCATTCTGCTCGTAGTAGCGGCATTTTAATTTCCTCAGCTTTCTTTTAAAAGTATTTTGGCCCCTATTAGCATTATAAGCCACACGGCCAATAACTGGAGCAGTGCAGTCAAGACAATATATCAGGTTGTGGTATAGATTGGAAAGCGCAATGTCAACATTATTTGTGGTAAAATAAGTTTCCCATGGTAAACATTGAATGAGAGTTCCAGTCCGTTTCCATGTTTGTTGATCAAAATGTCTGCTTTGGTACATCAATGAAGCTTTAGAGTTCAATTGTATGGCGTTTAAAGAGTGAATAATACCAATACAACTCTATGGTCACTCATAAAAAACTCATGACTGGTATGTACTGAGATAGAGTCTATGTTGATTGTGAACATTAAATCAAGTGTATTATTCCCCCTGGTTGGTTTTCGGACCTGTTGAACCCATCCACAAATTTCTAATGTTTCAACTAGCTTGTTATATCGACCTGGTACCGGAGTCAAGCCCCATTTAATTTTTGGCAGGTTAAAATCGCCTCCGATGATTTTAAAAGTATGCGGTTGGTGCGAAGCAATGGAAAATATGTTTGTTAGTAATTTGTCAAACTTAGTATCCGCATGAGGTGGTCTATATATGCATCCCACAAGTAAATAATTTTGGGATCCACAGTTTACAGTAACCCAAGTGGAGTCGTCTATAGCATCAAGGGATTTATCCTCAAATTTGCACGCTTGAATGTCTGAACGGACATAGATAATTGTACCGCCTCCTATTCCATAACATCTATCGGTTCTAAAGAAAACGTAGTTATCTACATTCAAGGAATGATCGGATATAGATGAATTACACCACGTTTCCGTAATAAGTACAATGGTTGGATTAACAAGGAATAAAAGAGTTTTAAGATGAATAATTTTATTAGACAGAGAGCGGGCATTGAACGAAAGAATAAGAAACTCAGAGTCATCATAGTGAAGCAGGTTAGAGTATAAATCGCAATTGGTAGTTCCATGAATACTCATAGGATTAGCTAAGGTAAGAGTCGTGTTGCGAGGGGAAATAGATTCAACCACTTTGTCATCATGTGAAATATGTTTACCGTTGCCGGCAGGAAAGCCGGCGGAATTACAAAAAAATTCTTTTCATTGCTATTGGATATAACATCTGATAAGGGCATACTGTACATATTGGGAGCCGGACCAAGAAGGCTATCAGGTCTATGGTTGTGACCAAGTGGCCAATTACAATTCAGATAACTATTTATACCTGACGTATGGGTAACGTGTTTAAGACGTTTATTTCCAAGGTTTGTGGTTGATTTCGGCTTCTTCATAAGTTGGAGAGGATTGTGTACTGTTAAACATACTTGCGATGGTTTGCGAGGTTCGAATATATCAACGTTAAGTGCGTGGTCAGTTATATGAATGTTATGATTAGTTTTCCTGTTATCCGTTGCACAGTTACTGTAACTGGGTGTTGCACTAACAGGGGTTTGGATTGTGTTATCCCATTCTTCATCAGCACAACTACTTCGGGTTGAATCTAAGTCAACATTCTTAAGAGGATGGACACCACCTACATCGGGATTACTTTCTTCTGGGTTTTGAACTTTATGAGATTCAGAAGAGTTTTTTGGTGGCGGCAAAGTTGTTAAGCTAGACGTCCTCTTAGAATCGGACTTAACGTTACAACCATTAGGATTATGATGCATTTGAGAGTTTGAAGCTGATGGTCTGTAGTTATCTCTTCCTGCTTTTCGCTGGCATGGTGTTTTATCCGGAAGAGTCTTAATATCCTTGAAAATCTGTTTTTGTCTCAATGAATTGGAGGAATTTAAAAATTCACTGGCGTCTACAGATGAGTTGAATTTGAACAAGATCGGTGAGTGCATACCAGGATGACTTCTTTTTAATCTTGTGCATACACATGGTACGTGTGTCATATTGCTGGCTCTAAGCAGACTAGATTTGATATTTTTAAGGGCATGTGTATCCGGTATATTAAACACAATTGCATTGCTAGATCGTCTTATTCTTTCAAATACCTCTGATGCAACACGATCTAGGAAAATATTTATGTCATTCATTTGATCTGGAGTCTCTGTGAGGTTGGGGTTGATGAGATATTTAAGCGGATTGAGAATGTTCATGTCTACTTGCAACTTCTTTATAGCATCCATATAGTTGCAGTTGCGATTATCATCACTGTTTACCATCAGAGTTTTCAACATGTCTGGAATGGAGACAACTGGTAAAAGCCTGTCTGCTTCCGGATGAACGGAGTGGCACGTCTCGTTGAAACTGTTGGAAATCGTATCGGTAGAGGTGTTAAATTGTGTCGTTTTCCTACGTTTGGCTGAACGCCTAGGAGCAGGGGTCTTCATTTTCTTTTGTGACATGATAAAGTGACGTATAGCAAGTGGTTTGAACAGAATGTTGGAAATAGGGGTGAAAAAATCAATTCCGAGGGCTCAAGTTAGTCTAAAAATCAAAATCTATGTTTTAACCAAGAGTGAATGTATCGTGAGGATTAGTGGTGTTAAAAACAAAAGATGACAATGGCAGGAAGATAGTAGTGGAGATGAAGTATTTATGTCAGTATCTGTGTGGAGGCAAAATAGAATATAAAGGAGCAAGTTGTATAAATTTTAACATATATGACACGAAAGATAGCCTTATATAGTAAAGTAATTTAGAAATGTCGATAATTAGTATCAAACAATCAAAAAAAGTACGGTATGTGATACATATATAAACTGAAAGTCCGTATTAGTAAAAATTGGGAGGTGCAGAGATAAGTAGTTTAGAAGATTATTACCGTCTAAAGTTATTATGTTGCTTCTTGAACAAATATATGAAACAGCTTTTTGGAAAAAAACACTGTCAAAAAAACAAACTATGACAGACTCACCGAATTGGACAGGTAATTTCGGAAATGAAATAATTTATAGTATCCAAATACGATTTAAATGATAGTTAATAAAATAGTGAATACAGTCCTTTAACATACACGGTTATATATATTTCTTGATATTAGGTAGAGGTTTGAATAGATCCTGTAGATACATAAAGTACGTGGGTTAAAGCATTCAAATACGATATAATCATATATTCCTTAAGAAATAGAATACAGATATGAAATGCAAATCTTCGTCAAATATGATTATATACGGTTTCAAAGTATAGTTTGATCGTATAGTCAAAATGAATATATGTAATCATATGATTATGAATTATTGTATGAATATGATCATAAATACTGTAAGTTGAACTCAGAACTTATCATATGGCATGAAATTCACAGTTTATATGCTAATAGTTAAGAATAGAGTTATTTTCCATAATTCCAAGAAAAAATAATTCATCCAGCTATGCGAGAATCCTAGAAAAGTGAAACTAAAAACCTCGGCCTGAAAGTAACGTCCAGTCCGTAGCGCGCGGTATCAGTGTTGGTAACGGGTTCTACACGTTAAGATGAACATTAATGATAACGTTTATGGGGCTCAAGAAGTAAGTTTCCGACTAGATCCCGAAAAACAATGAACGCTGAGGGTACATTGTCAAAGCAACTTCCTATATTAAACGGAATTGCTAAAACCTGGAACGAACTTAACGCATTACTGCTACTATTATATATTCTGGTATTCTTGAAATGAATAGAAAACTACAAGGTGCCAACTACCTAAACCATATCACAATTGGAAATCGAATATATCGGTCTATAAAATATGCTCTTTGAAGCCATGATTACTAAGCGAAATGTTCCTATCTTTTTACAAGCAGCAAAAAGCTCACTGAAATTTTACTTTTTCACGCTCCAGGTTAGCTTCTTCTATGGTAGCATCTTCATCTTCTAATTCTTCAAACTCATTTTGCTCATTGTGTATTGATAAGTGAACATTCACGCCAGGTGCTGCTTTAAGATGTTGCGCGACTATCAGTTTAAGTTCTCCTGAAAAGTAATTAAGGGAAACCACCACATACTTATTGTCTGAAACTTGCAATATGTCCCTTCAAACAGGAAAGTGGCACTTGAATTTGGAGGATTTAAGTAAAATGAGTAGTGAGGTGGATATATTTCAATTTCCGCTGACTTTGGAGCTTGGATGGCACGCCGTTCGAAGACTGAAATGTCTGTGTGCGTACAACCATAAAAATCAACAAACAGCTTCCACACATTTCTAGGTATTAACGTGATGTCATTTTCTAAGAGCAAGTTCTCTTTTAATTTTCCATCACCTACGTTAATATAAGACATATATAGACAAAATCCTACATAAAATATCACTGTTATCAACTTTTCCTGGATACTCTTCCGAGGTTTCGTCAACCATCCCACTTTTGGAAACCGAGTCCACAAATTCCTCCCACTTCGTCCACCAGTTAAGAGACAGGATATACCTAGGATGGACAATAGCGACAAGCTAAACACGTTACCATAAGTCTCCTTTTGTTATATCTACATTCATTAACTCATCAACTTTGGCTTTTTGAGTAGCGAAAGTGGCAGCACTTATGCAGTTTCTGAAAATAGAAGTAAATGGAACGTTTACAAGCTTTTGGAGAACAAATTTACAGGTAAACGGTAGATTTTATACACACATCGCCAACTTACTGCGAGACCATTCCTAACCGCAACTTTCTTAAAACAAGCGGTGAAAGTTGCAACGCTCATCATTGCTTAACAGAAACAAAGTCAGTCTTCAGTAATAAGGATAGGAGGTTGGTGAACCTGTATTAATCCTGACACATTGCTTTCCAGTGAAGGTCCAGCTTCTCCTTGAAAATATTCACTGATGGGGCTGATACCACTTGTTCGGGTAAGGCGTTCCAATCATTGACTACTCGATGAGAAAAACGGGACCCCACTTTAAGTTTATTAGATCGTGGTTTATGAACCTTCTTGCTATGACCTCGGAGATTATTAGTGCTGGAGGGAGCAAAAAGATAAGACATATTAACACCCAAATCATAATTAAACATACGAAATGCCAGTATAAGGTCACCTCGTGTCCTACGATACGACAAAAGGAAAAGGTTTAGGCGTTTTAAACGTTCATCGTAAGAGAGTCTAGAAAGACCCTTCACTAATTTTGTTCCCACACGCTGGGCACGCTCAAGGGAGTTAGTATCCTTTATCAGACACGAGCTAGCTGCTTGGATACAGTACTCTAAATGTGGTCTTACATATATAAGATATAAAATCCGAAACGTTTCCCCGTCAAAAGATTTGAACGCTCAGCGAAGTGACCACAACCTTTGACAGCAGCTGCTTTGCAATGCGTAGTTGTTTTGAAATCATGACTTATTACTACTCCTAAATCTTTATGTTCTTGAGTACATGGTAGAGGTTAACCCTCATTAGTATAACGGTAACTATCACCGTGACCGATGTGCATTAGCACACTCTTCTTAGTATTGATTTCTAAGCCCCACTCTCGAGCCCATCCAACTAAATCGTCTAAGTCAGCTTGAAGATCCAGATGATCAGCCGCACTTTTTATTGTTCTCCAGATTTTTACATCATCCGCAAGCAGTAATGTCGACGACCTAAGCAACAGCGCTAACTCATTAACGTAGAGAAGGAAGAACAGAAGGCCTAAGATGGTGCCGTGGGGTACACCACTTTTGACCGGCTTCCAATCGGATAGCGTCCCACTGACCCTCACTCTCTGTCTGCGGTCACATAAGAAGTTTCCTATCCACTCGTGTACAGTACCTATTATTCCGAAGCTCGTGAGCTTCTGCATAAGACCTATGTGTGAAGCCTTGTCAAATGCTTTGCCAAAATCTATGAATATCACGTCGACAGACAGGCCGTTATCTAGGGCTACTGTTCAATCCTCTCTCGCAATAAGCAAGTAAATCAAACATGAACGCTTGTTACGAAATCCGTGTTGTTCAGGAGCTAACAGATTGTGTAAATCTATGTGGCTTAGCAACCTAACCCGAATTATCTTTTCAAGTAACTTAACGACTATGCTAGTTAGACTGACAGGCCGGTAGTTAGATACTATCTGTCTCTGATCCTCCTTAATTATAGGACTGACTATAGCGACCTTCCAATCTCTAGGGAGTTGAGCGAATGAAAGGGACATGTTGAAGAGTGTCATGAGAGATTTTGAAATAATGTCCGCAAGAGATGACAGCAACCGTGGATGTAACCCGTCAGGGCCTGGTATCTTACAAGATTTGAGGTTAGTTATCAACGGAAGGACAGTTTCCTCAGTCACCTGTACAGATTCAGTGGTTGGTATCTTGGTGTGAGTGGGACAAGTATTTGTTACAATAAACGTAGAGAAGACTTCTCTAAAATAGTTTGAAAAAGTCTCAGCTTTTGCTCGATCTGATTCAGCTAGTAAATCTGAATTTTCGTGTGACAGCAACGGGGGAATACCATCACTACGTTTCATTCGCCGTTTAACATACGAAAACAGTCGTTTCAGACGAGTACGGCTATCATATACTAACTGTCGTTCGTAAGTGGTACTGGATTCGGCTATGATTTTCTCACAGATATTACGGAATTTTTGGTACTCACGCTTAAATGGTGCATGACCTGTCAACAAGTCTCCATGAACATACAGGGGTATCTGCTCATGGCTTCAAAATTGATATCATTTTTGATTTTTCAATAACATTTCTGGTGAAGCTATTATTGACGTATTAACAACACGTATGTTTGCTTCGTTATATTACGCAGTTTGAAATTTACGTCGTGAGCTCTGTTCAGTGTAGATATACTCAACGTTATGAAATCAACAATGTGTATCGTAGACCCGAACCCCGGTGGTGTTTACGTTCATCTAGGTTGGAGAAAACCTAATTATAGCCGTAGTTGATTTAAAATAGTCTGTTAGGAAATGATTTTAATAGAGAAATGTTTGAGGCTCAGTTTAGTTTCGGTAGTTGTGTTGTAAACCATGTACCGACTCATAAGTGACCGTAGTCTTCAATCCTGAAACGGTATCATCTGTATTTTTTAGGTAAGCGTTGGTTGATTATAGGTTTGTTATTCCGTTTATCGGCTTCATTATCCATAGTGAGCTACTTTGAGTGACATGTTAATTCGAATGAAACAAAAATTGCGATGCTTCCATAGTTTGACGTAGTTGATTGTTGTATTATACAGTCTATTGAAAACAATCACAGTAATTGAAAGGTAGGAGTGAACCTCATAATTTTGGTAATTAGAGTCATTTAATTTTTCATTTCGGTTAATGTCGTTAGGTGTTGAAATCTGAAAACGATTAGTAGAGTAATTAGCTCACAGGAGTTGTAGTTGAGAGCTTAGGACTTGTGCAATACAGGAGGAATCAAGAGGATGTGACCTTGATGTATCATTTTTGTCATATTACCCCTCGGTCCAACGTATCGCTTTTTGATTTCAGCAATAAATCAGGCAGTGGTGATATAAACTCATTGTAGTAAGCGGAACTCTTCTGAAAATGACGGAAGACATCTTGCAACTTCCATGTTAGTCCGCTTTAAAGGAGAACATTTGTAACATCTTGAGTTGGTTTGTTAAGAGTTTACCTCAAACAACCAAGCATATACCAAAACAGTATAGTTCAAGTATTGGTTCACTTCCTTATTTTGTATAGGCGTTATATTTCCTATAATCTTATATTGAATGTTGAGAGGCTTTGTTTGTCTGAGTTGGTGTAGACGATGATGTGACTTCCACGTAAGATCTTATAGATTAGACAGTCATATCATGACAAGTCTACAATTTTAGGATTAGGTCTATTATTAGAACAGTACTGATATCACAGTACACCATAATTCTACACATTAATCTATATCAATCCGTCTAGAAAAAAAAGTATCTTGGAAACAACTGTTATCTCTATTTTTCTTCATCACAGATAAAACGGATCTTGTACAATATATTATAAATGTCTCCGTGCGACTTGTATCCGTCATGATTATTCTGAATCTACATGCCATCCACCCACATTTTCCTTCTTTTCTTCGTTTGTTCAAGGAGAATTAATTGATATACGTCCACTAGTATCCGTGACCACTAGCTGGAAGAACTTATCCCTAATGAAATCAGATAAACAGAACACTTTCACTTACTTTCCTTTGCTAACATTGCATTTCAAATCGATGCAAGTAACTTCAAAATCACTCCCAGTTGTTGTCATTGGCATAGCCTCTTGCAACCAATCACCACCTAATCTCCCGAACCACGCACCACTTTTCAGATACTTTTTATTGAAAGGCTAGTCGTGTACCATATTGGGTGGAGTTATTATGTACCAGTTGACATCATACTGCACGCAAAGCGTGTCTTGACAGCAGGTAAACTTTGATCGATAAAGATGTGGTCGTGATGAATGTTATATACTTTTTTACTCTCTGTCTATGGCCCTTTGGTTTCCTTGTATGACCACAACAATGAACATACATAATATACTGATAGCGGATTTCCAGCTTTGTGTCGTTCAACTCGCCTCCATTCACCACCTAATGTGTCATCTAATAACATCATATGGTATATATTATGCAACATACCTACTTCCATAGATCGACAACAACCTCAAATTGTCACAGGTTATCAGGTGCATAGATCTCATGTACGTATATATATATATATATCTCACTGTTATCCACAAAAGCTAGACACTCACTCAACTGGAGATGGTTATTCATAATAATTTAGAGGATGGCAAACCGGAGTTTCCTTCATAGTTGTTCATGACATCAAAAGCAACACTTAAGAGTCAATAGGCGGCTAGTTGGAAAGTTCTAGGCGGAAGGAATGTCGATTAGAGTTAAGAAAAACCTATTTTATTGCATTTGCGGTGTGTAACAGACGTCTTTGTTCGCCAGTTGCGAATATCGGTAATGGATGTAAATGGTAGAATTTCCTGGAAGACCATTTGTGTTGATAGCATATTTGGGGCTTAAGAAACGGTTGGGTATTGTGGAGGCCCGTAGTTTGATTTTGCCCTCATTTAGATCGACGATATTCGTTGAAGGGCTCACCATTTTTGTGGCCCGAGGATCTGACTCCTATTTAGGTCGTAGGAATGTTTGTTATCGCCTATTCTCGTATATAATCGTCGACTTAAATCGCGTTAGTCAATAACGGAATTAAATAAGTCGAATAACGAGAATTGAGTTGAGAATACATATATTTTGTATATGAAGCGAATGAAACAGAGCAGAGCAAAATGACACGCAGGGAAGATGGCTGGGAAGCCAACTCCATTTTAGTCAAGCGTTACTCAATATTTATAGGCAGACAAAATAAACTACAGACATATGATGAGTCATAGGATATGAAGTGTACACACATATCTGCTCATATAAAAACAGTCAAGACTGATAACCGAATAGTTGACAAGGTCAAAATATGACTCAAGTAGGATGAATAGAATGGAATGTCCGAAAGCTAGAATAAGATATATGGGCTTAAAATAATGAATGACACTACAGTATTTCGCAACTTATGGATGACGTCCTATAGACGTTGTGGTACCAACATCAGCAAGGGTTATTTGTGTCTTGTGGTCTGGAAGTAGATATAAGCGACATCATACGAGTGAGAAAAGTCGGAATCTCACAAATGCAGACGATGTACACTCATCACACTCACGAGTAGACTAAAGGAAATTGTAGTGAATGTTGGAAGCATCTAAATTTTGCTTTGAGGTCCCCGTC